GAGACGATTGCTCGCGTTGTGTTGTCAGTATCAGGCATTTTTCAAACACACATCGGACTCTTGGATAATCGTGTTTTTTCCCTTCTCTTTTTATAGATACAAAAAAAAATTCATTTCGTGACAATTCTATATCTCGGTATGAATAATAAGTAGTATCCAAGTAAGCCCGGAAAATGGAATTGAAATCGCGTTGGCATTAATCGCAGATCGCCGAAGAAGAAAGAAGAAGAGGGAGTTGGTGGGTGGGAGAGGCTCTTTTTTTCCGCTAATAAAATTAAAAAATCAACAAGTCATTGTCTGGGTGGTGTAGCGACGATCGAGGCATCAAATCTCCCTGACCCACATCGCACTCGGCAACCAGTGCACACGACCGGCGGCGGTGCCGTGTAAGCATCGGAAATCGACGTGGAGAGGAAAAAAAAAAAAAAAAAAACGAGCAAAAAGAGAAGAAGTCACCGTGGCCCGCGAATCGGGGGAAAAAAGAAGAAAGCCGATTATCGATTCCGGAAAGCGGACAATCGAACCTGCTATTGCCCTGCATATATATACATATATATATTGTACGATGGCAGTGTTTACGAGAAAGCCCGACGCCTCTTACTTTATGGAACGATCAGTCGCGCGGAGAGACAATCGGAGTGCGGAAAAAAATCATCGTATGAATGTACGTATATGCGTTGGAGCGGCGACGATTGAAGTGCGTCGTCGATTGGCTTTCATTTACACACTCTCGTTTGCTCGTGCGGTGCACCGGCATCACATATACATACACGGGCGTATAATGTAACCGTTAAATTGCAACAGCTGCTTTGCGATGAATCGACGGCTTAATAAACGTTTTGCAGTGCTCTCATCCTCTTTTTGTGCCTCTGTGCGCCCGACGCCCTCGATTTTTTGTTGGATACTTATGTATAGCAGTCTGATGGGGGGGGGGGGGGCGGAGAGAACTCGGTGGTTTCAATTCACACCACGAAGGAAGGATCTAACAACAATTTTGCTTGGCGAAAAAAAAAAAAAAAAAAGATTCATATTTATTTTTATACTCCCATTTCACTTGTATAAAAGTGTTGTCAATATATATTATTTTGGCTGGAAAGAGGTATAATATATTTATACTCATAGTATCATTGTATTTGTGCTTTTAAAATCTACTTATTCAAATTACAATGATACTGTTCATTACCAAAGACATTTCATGTATCAAATATTAAAACGATCGTATGGTTGTTTTGTAAAATAACCAAGAAATATTTTCGTTTTTTCCTGTACAACTGTTAAAGTGTCGTAATTATATGACTCCCACAAGAGGTCAAAGTACTCGAAGAAATAACACTCATAGGGTGTTTTTGTTTTCTACAAGTTTTGAGCCATTAACGCTTTTACATATTAAATGAATGGCTTCTGGTCTGTATACACAATAATGGGCTCTCTATGTACTGTTATTATACACTATACATACCACTAGCGTTACAACACATGCTTGGATTCAAACACACGTTCAATCATCTTTGATCGTCAAATCGGTAAGTATAGGTGTACTAGTGAAATACGGGGCGAGTAGTGTGTACCCCAATGTTGGTAATATTATTAGAGACTTCGTCAATTTAATAAAGTCAAGTAATGATTGAGGATTTTTTTCCCAATCGAAATATCATCATCACGCATTCGTACACCAGTGAAGAAAAAAAAAAAAAAAAAAAAAAAAAAAAAAAAAAAAAAAAAAAAAAAAAAAAAAAA